CTTTGAAACTCAACATAGCTCTGTAATGCAACTCATTCATATCTTGCAGGGTCGTTGGCAGGACTTTCTCTGGAGGAAGTTAAGAAATTGCACAAGGTGGAGCACTGTATTTTGGAAGCCATTCGCCTGCGTCCAGCAGGAATGATTGCTCGCAAACTTACAGGACCTATGCAAGTTCGAGATCTTACAATTCCAGCGGGTGACATGCTTATGATCTCACCTTATTGGGCGCATCAAGACGAGACCATCTTTCCTGACGCAAAATCCTACGTTCCAGACCGCTGGAATCAGACTGTAGGCTCAGATAAATCCGCCCCATCTGACAAATTCTTTGCGTTTGGAGGCGGTCGCTTTCAGTGCCCAGGCCGACGGTTTGCTATGATGGAGATACAAATGTTTGTCTCAGTTCTTCTTTGTAGTTTTGACTTGGAGTTGGTGAAGGAAGAGGTTCCTTTACCGTCTCCGCAACATGTCGTGGGCGTTCCGCACCCTTTATCGCCATGTTTCGTGAAGATGCACAAGAGAGTCAGAATTATTTGAATTTATGGACAGTTGGTAGCCATAGGAAAGAAATAAAACTTTTTCTATTATTTCAGGCACAAGTTCTCGGTTTTGTGTGCTCCAATTGACGCCGATTTATAACGGCTGACAACTCTTATAAACTCTTTATAACTTCTTTAACGTCTTTTATAAACTCTTTATAACGTGTTTGTATCTAATCACCTCGTTCCACACCCAGTGCGAGACTCTTAAAGTGTGGCGCGCGTGCTATTTGTCCCTCGATCACCAAGTTATCGAATCTCTCTATTCGCACTGGCAATTTTCCTAAAATATGGAAATGCTCGAAAGTGGCTGCCCTTTTCAAAACTGGAGATAGGACAGATGCGTCAAACTATTGCCCAATTTCTATTCTGCCAACGATGAGCAAAATACTGGAAAAAGTTGTCCACTTCCAATTCTATGACTTTCTAAATTCAAATAACCTCATTTCAAACAAACAATTTGGCTTCCGTTCCAAACTGTCTACAACATCAGCTCTCACCAGTTTTGCAGATGAGGTCCTATTGCATATGGAGATTGGAGAACTGTGCGGTGCAGTGTTCTTAGATTTGACCAAGGCATTCGCCTTGAACGCTACAGTGGTTAAGTCCTACCTGAGTCATCTTAAACAGCGGATTGCCTGTAGTGATGCTATGTTTGACCCTCTCCCGATGACCTTTGGGGTGCCACAGGGGAGTATTCTAGGACCGCTT